CTCCTCCCGCCTCCCCGGAGGGCCGGGGAGAGGGGTTCGGGGCCCGGCGGGCAGGCAGGCAGGCAGCCCGCGGCTCCCCCCGCCCCACTCCACCTCTAGGCTCCCTCTCAGCTGCGGAGTCTTGTGCGCAAACATTCTGCCTGGTGAGCCCCTGGCATGAAAGTGGTGAGCCAGCCATTGGGCCGCTGCGTAAATGAGTTTGCTCCGGAGCCCTCCATCCTCCCTGCGCTGAGACAACAGATGTGTGAGCCGGAGGCTAGAAAACCTGTGAGGTGGCTCACACTCACTCGGCCTAGAGGGAACACTGCTCCGGAGCCCTCCTTACTGTGCCAAGACAACAATGTGTGAGCCGGAGGCTAAGAAACTGGGAGCTGGCTCACGCTAACTCGGCTTAGAGGGAACCCTGCTCTCCACCCCCACCACCCCCGGCGCCGGCGGGCACAAAGGAGCGCGGGGGGCGTCGGGGCGGCCTTCTTCCCGGCCTCGCCCCCTTTGTTCTCTCTCCTGCCACCCGGTTCCCAGGGGAGGGGGCCGCCGGAGCCGGGCCCCGTCTGATCTTCGCCCTGTTTCCCCGGCAGGGCAGGGCAGGACGCGCGGAAGTGGTCGGGCGACGGAGCGGTCGGTTCCCCGGGGAGCGGCGCGCCTTCCTCTCCGCGGCGGGGCCCGTTTCCCGGGCGAGATGCCCCGGGGGAGGCGGGAGGAGTAGGCGGGCCTGGCCTGGCCTGGCCTGGCCTGGCCCCCCTCGTCACTCACGGTGAGGCTCCCCTTCCTCCCCCGCAGGTTTCTCTCCTGGGTTGCGCCGCAGGTGGCTGCCTTCCCGGGTCTGGGCTCGGGCGGAGCTGCAGAGGTGGCCTTGTTTTGCTTTCGGACTCCCACGTGCAACGATGGGCCGCTGGGCTTGCAAACATCAGGGGGGGAGCGCGGCCTCTTCTGCTCCCAGACAGAAGCTTGGTTGCATGGAGATGGCCCCCTACTCTGGGAGTTTCTTGATTATTTGTGTTTTTTATTCTTCCTAAAATGCATTTATTTTTGAAAATTGGTGGGCGCGGTGGGGGGGGGGGGCATAAGGGATCCTCGCCTAGGGTGCAAAATAAGCTGGGGCCGCCCTGCTTTCCAGCATAACTGGCGGTGTAGTTCAGAGTCCCGGGACCAAGCAGAAGAGAGAGTCGCCCTGTCCCTGCTTTACTTTACTTCTGGCATTCTTTACACAGACCTGAGCACTTAGCAATTATTGGTCCAGCAGAATCTGGCTGATGCTCAAGCAGTGGACAGCAGCCCCCGCCCCTGTTCAGGAGGGAGTGTGCACCGGCAAGTACGGATTTGTTGGAAAATGGGTGACAGCAAACTTGAACGCTGTTGTTTGCCAGGGCTTATTTTCTGGGGGAAGGTGCCAGAGCAAGGCTGTCTGGGAAGGAATGCACTTCTTGGTCCCCAGTACTTTTGCAGTCTGTTGTCAGTGGCGGGGGGCATGTGCCTGGTTGGGGCATTTTAACTGCTTCACATGTTGGCGTTAAATTTCGGACCACTGGCAAAAGACCAGCAGTGGCACAGCTTAATCCATGTGCATGAGAGACAACAGTGCTCATATAAGCCCAGTCCTTGGCGCATTTATTCAGAAGTGTCTGCAGAAGTTCAAGGGGACTTACTCCTAAGTAAGGCTGCACTCTGCCTGGACGTAAAAAGACACATAGCATCATTGCTATGATGCTGCTGTTGAATTGCAACTTGCAATTGTAACACTCTTAATAGAAAGACCACTGAACTCCGTGGGATTGGCTCCTGAGTAAAAGTGTTTGGGGCCGTGTAGTCAGAAATGGGATCAGGGGTGCTTTATTTTCCAAAGCAAAATTCCCATTTCTTAAGATTTGTTGATTCATGGAATGTTTTTTTTGCCAATGTGATGGCGGTCAAGCATGGCAGGTTTCAGAGTTACAGTTGCAGTTTATGAAGTGAACCCCCTCCCCACATCCCCACACCAAATAACCAGTGAATTCTCAAACATAAGTGTCCTAGGAATTGTGTGGGAGATTCTGTGCATGTTTTACTGATTGGGAACCTTGAGTGGGATAGGGGTGGGGATAAAACTTTATAGGGCACTTTTACGCACGCTAAGTAATGCAGTTTCAATCCACTTCTGTGACCATTTGCAGGTGGATTTTGCCATTCCACACATTAAAATCCAGCTGCAAAGTGCACTGCAAGTGCATTATTTAGTATGTGTGAAAGTGCCTCATAGAAGATAAATGTATGAATTCACCAGATTTGTGATTACAGTATCTCTTCCACCATGTCAGAGGTGACATATGAATAATTTCTTTTAGCTTTGGACTTGATTTGACTGGCACTTACCTAACAAGTAATGTAAGTGGTCAGATGCTCCACTGACCTCTGTGGATAAGAGTGAAATTCTGGTGAAGAATGGAGAGCTCCATCCACGGCCCATCAGGCATGGTTCTTTGGCTGCTCTGAAATTTGAATGAACAATTTTCTGAACCTTTTGGGTTCCCCCCTCAAACGTAAACAATGTTTGGAGATGCACATGTCTTTAAATGTTAGCAAGTATTATTCCAGTCAGAATAATTTATGCATAAAACCACACTTCATTTTTCCCTATTCAAACATTTCAGTTCAAGTATTATTGCTCTGGGAACATAATAGTAACATGACATATTTTTAAATTAAAGTAAAAAATGAATGTTCTAAATGAAATCACGCTGCAGTCAGAGTATAGGATGATTTTCTAGACCATTCTCTGAAAAACTTTCTGAGTGGTTTATCTGTGCTGTGTGAACCTTCAGGTTATTATTTTAAATGTTTGTATGGTACTGTTCCTTCCAACAGAAGCAGGACACACAGGAATGTAGCCGCAAAAGCTTTTGTCATCATCAGCTGAAACGGTTTGTGTGTGCTGGGCTGCAAGGACTCCAGAACAGGGCTTCTGTAGTGCCTCTAAGCGCTGTTTTGTGGGTGTGTGTATAGTGCTTCATGTCTGCCTAGTGCTGGTGAAGGGTTTGATCTGAATTCACCTCTAGCAGTGACACTGACCTACCAGCTGTGTAACATTAGTGGGTCTTAATGTGGATCTCTTAATTTTACTACTATTTGTAAAATTTTGAAAAGTTCCAGGCACAAATACTTGCAAGCGAGGTGTGCAATAGTAAACCAATGAATTGTGAATTGTGTTTATTGTGAATTCTGGTTTCATTGCATGCTGCCTCAAGAACCTTGTGCTGAGATGCAGCCTAAACAGATTTTAAAAAGAGGTTGTTTATTTCTTAGCAGGAGAACGTGTGATTCAGAGATTCTGAGGCAGCAAGGCAGGCCGCTAGAGGTTGTGGGAATGGCTCGTTCAGGGTGATCCAGTTAGTCTGTCCTTTACCCTCTGGCCACAGGGTGCAGGGGTGGGGGTGGCGCTGAGTACTGGTGCAGCAGACAGCTGTTCACCCATCACCGTAGCATCAAGCCCTGGCATGGTGGCAAGAGGCCATCACCAGTGATCCCTCTAAGCTGTGGATTCTTGTGAGCAAAAATTCTACTTGGTGAGCTACTGGCATTAAAGTTGTGAGCCAGCGATTTGGCTCCTGCATCAATTAGTTTGCTCTGGAGCCCTCCTTCCTGAGCTAAGAGAAAAATGTGTGAGCTGGAGGTTAAAGAACTGTGAGCTGGCTCACACTAACTCAGCTTAGAGGGAACACTGGCCATCACATGGGGGAATTTTTAGAATTGTGGACTGGGCAGTTCTGTTCTACTTCTGTCAAAAAGTGAGAGGCCTGTAGCTGCTGCAGCAGGGGGCTGAGCTGACTCCTTCACTAGCTTAACAGAAGACTACTTAGTGGTTGGATCAGACCAAAATCAGTTTGGTCCAGCATCCTGTTCCGGTCAGCTAAATGTCCCAGAAGTGTATCCCCAGGGCCTGATATTCAGAGGCACGCTGCCTGTGTAGATGGTGGTTCGTTTTGGTTGTCATGGGCTGTGGGCCGAATAAAGATTTGTCCATCATAATATTTTCTCATCCTTTATAAGAAATGTTCAGCAAGACTTGAAGGCTATTCCTTGATCAGTGTAACTGGTACTACAGACAGTATGCATCTGACTACAAGATTTCGGGGACGAATCAAAGGGGAGAGCTGTGTGCATCCCAGAGGCAGATTTTGAACACTGGATGGTGGTCTAGATTCCATCATGTGTATAGGAATCCCTTAATTGCAGCTCTCCTGAATTAAAAAAAAAGTGGTTAGAGAGTTGGACTAGAATTTGGGAGACCCAGATTCGAATCCCCCTTCCACCATGGAAGTTTGCTGGGTGATCTTGGGCCAGTTATTGTTTCTCAGCCTAACCTATCTCACAGGGTGTAGGTTGTGGGGATAAAATAGATACAGGGAGAATGATGAAATAACTACTTTGGACCCTCTTGGGGAGAACAGTGGGGCATAAGTATCGGAATAAATATTGAGCGTATTTGCTGGAATGTGAAAGTACCAATGCCTGACAAGCAAAGCTGTAAATATACGTGGGACTTCAAAATATGTTGGAAATTGCTGCAGTCAGTGCTTCCTTAGCTTT